AATGCAAGGAAAATGAATTTATTTTCCAACTACCAAAGAAAATTTGGCATATCAAACACACCCTCAGTCTAGGCGAAGACAAGCTAAAATTGTTTGCTCATTTATTGGGACATTTATGCATAGAATTCGGGTTTTCATGGACAAACTATAATGAAATTTAAAACAAAAATTAATGCCGCTGGGGCATAATTTAGCAGTGCAAAGGATAGGAGCGATGATATATCTCAGTGGTGCAAATGACATGAGTGAGGTTGTCTCAATTGAGCTGACAGTCACAGTGTAAGGGTTCGATTCTTTCCTCTTACAATGTATGAAATTTGACTCTTTGTGGACCAATATGACAGCTCTGTACCCTGATCCGTTGAGACACAACCCGCAATTTACTTTTTCCTAAATGCTCCAGGGAGGTTAAAACAAAAAATTAACAAAATTAGATAAAAATTTAAAAGTTTCCATGACCCGACGTTTTTCTCGACAGTACAAACCAGGCTTGACCAGAGGATTCTGATCTTCCTGCACGTGGCACCATCATGTACATATATGGCCCCACACCAGAGCAAGTCTTTAGGTAGTTCTTTACATCAACTTGCAATAGCCGGTGGCTTCAGGGCCCGTTACTGATGGGTCCGGTAGAAGGGGTGGATTGAATAAAGAATTGGGGTTTAAGCAATGGTAGGGGTGGTCTTCAGGGGGTTTTGGCAATTTATTGAGTGTGGAAAAAAAAAAAAAATTTACATGGATTTTTGGTAGGGAGAGAGAATTTGGTATGATGGAAATGGAAAATTGGGATTACTTTTAGATTTGTTGTTTTAAAAAAATTCTCCGATCTTGCATTATATTGCTCCTCTTCTACGCAAATTCTACAGGGATTTGTTTTCTAGGAAAAATAATGTGAAATTTTGCTGGAAAATTCTTGTGGTATTGACGGAAAATTGCAGTTTTAAAGGTGATATATCCGTATTCTTTGTCATTTTGTTCTTTAATTTGGTAAAATGAGTGTTTCCTTCAAAAACTCCCGTCGGTGCTAAGAAATTTTGGGAAAGTGAACGAAATTTTTTAATTTCTGGGAGTTTGTTTTGGTATCAGTTTGAGATTTTTGTCAGAATTCGGCAATGAAACAAAGCATTTCTCTATTTTATGTGTTATATGATTTACAATTAGATACCCTTTTCTGGAAAAATAGAACTTTGCTCTCGATCTGTGGAATGTTACCATGTCTGTTTCAAACTAATTTTTCTGAAAAAAAAGAAATATGGGCGTTGAATTATTTATTTCAGATATTATAATAGATTTTCTAGATCAGTTCATTTTGCTTTGTTTCTATTTTCTTTTGGACCGTTTGAGTTGTTCAAGATGGTTCGGCCATTGATTAGTGTAGCTTCTTTTAGATCATTATTTATGTATGTAATTTCATACGTATACGTTTTAAAGTTCAGTGACGCATGAAATGATCTGGTTTTTAGCATTGCAGATGCTTTTGGGGAATGTTTTGGTTAGAGTCTTATTATGTTCTTTCCTTCTCTATTCTTTGTTTGGCGTAGATAATTTTTGGGAAAATAGTGATGGATTTGGAATTGTTAAATATTTTCCATTTTTCATGAACTTATATGCTAAATCAATAAGGTGGCCTCAAAATTTCATTTTCTATGGTTTATGTCTATATTCATGTGTTATATTTGTGAATTCTATTACATCCATTCATGAATGCATTTCATGCATTACATTGCTTTTTCTCTACTCATCATTTTAGATTTTAATTGCAGGATGTGTATCTGCTTTATTCTGATTATGCTAATCTGATCTAACGTTTTTAGTTCTTTAGATCACTTGTGCGGGATCTTGGTTCCCTCTATAGTTTTTTAACTGAGTGATTTTATGGGAAGTTTAAAGTGATTGCGTTTACAATAGGTCTTAAGGTTGAGTTAACTATTTAAGATTGGTTTTAATACAATTGCGATGAATAATACTACCTTTTTTTTACACGTCCACTGAAGAAGTAATTTTTTCGTTCCTTCAGTGGTTTTCTTTCCAATTTCCTTTTTTAGGTTTGTTTGGGTGGGATATGTGGGTTTATGACGTAAGATGCTTTTATATTTAAACCAAATTCTGTTATGGCTAACAACTCTATCAAATTAGTTGCTTTTCATGATTACCGTGTACCATAATTGAATTTGTTGTGTTTGGTATGGAAGTTTTAGTGTTACCGGGTTACTATATTGTCCAGTTAGTGCGATTAGAGAATATAGCTAACTGGCTTATCATATGCATCCATATAGTCTCAACCATCTGGCAGATGTCGGACTATTTTGTTTTCATCAATTTTGCCTTGTGAATTAATTTGATTTACCCCAAACTTGTTATGTTGATTTATTAGTTTTCACTGCTAATGTTGACAGGGTCTCTTGCACTTGGGCTTTCCTTGCATTAGTGACCAGTGGATGCGCTTCGATGTTAGATTTTACACTATGAAGTGTAAATGAGTGCTGGTGTTTTGCTTTTATGAATTTTTTATGGTATGGTTATTGAGATATGGTGTTGCAGAAGAGGCTAGACTATGGATTTAGTGGCTATGAGGTGCCTCCCGTACCCCGAGCTGCCAGATCTTCCAGGGTAACAAGATAGACCTTCCTGGACTGCTAATTTTTTCCTTTTATGGCTTGTGGTTCCTAAAAACTTACTCATTTTTTGTGTTAAATTATGACTTTGTCTTAGAAGAGATGCATATTTCGAAGCAAAACTGATGACCACCAATTGGGTTCGTTTGACTTATTGGCTACTGTAGCTGACAAGTTACTTATGGAGGGGGGAATTTCCCCAAAACCTGAAGATACGTATTCTGGTAAAGAGCAGCAGACAGTTGTGGAAGGTTCAATTTCAGAAGGAGAAGAGGCCAAATATAAACCTTTGATAGTGAAATCTTGTGATCTAGACGTCTGTAATCAGAGTTCTCTCTTTACAGAGAAGGTCTCAGAAGCTCCTGTTCCAAATTTTTATTCAAATGAACTAACATCTCTTCTAAATGAAGCGTCCTCATTGCCTGCATCTGTAATAACTCCCGAGTGCTCGCTAAAGTTGGCTGATGATGAATGCAAGCTTGAACTCGGGATTATCACTCAGAAACTAGATGTTCAATCATCTGGTTGCGGAGTATCTGCTGGTTGTAGATTAGAGGGTGAAAGTGTAAAAAGGATAAAAATGAAATCCAAAATTTATAGGAATCTATCAATAAGTAGTAGGGATAACATGTGCAGTCCGGGTTGTCCAGAGACTTGGGAAAGAAAGAAGTCTGCGTTAGTTAGATCACCTAATAGTGTAAAAGTTCCCTCTCGCAGGGGCCACATGTCTTGTGGTTCTTTCCCCTTTAATTCAGAGGGTGTGAAGGTAGTTACTAGAGATAATGACGAAAACTCTTGCAGGCGCACTCAACCTAGAAATGCAAACAAGGCCACTAGGCCTCTGCCACATAGTGGAGATTGTAGAAATAGGAAGTCGCTGGCTTCTAAGCATTGGAAAGGGACTCCAAATCTGGAGGACGGTTATAATGCCAGTAAGATTTCGTGAATTGCTTTAATTTAAAAGTGATTCAGATCTGTTCAAGCAGTCTGGATGCTGTATTTAATTTGATGTTATAACAATGTCTTCAGATAAAAAAAGACGCAGTTTCCCGAACAGATATAAACGCCAAATATCTCAGAGGGATTACCCTTTCAAGAAAAGAAGGCTTTTTTATTGTAGCTCAGTGCCTAATTCTGACTTACTGGTTAGCAGCGATGGAATATGTAGCTTGCCTGAGAATGACGCCAAAGGAGCTGCCCTGCTCTCTGGACCTGCATTGCCTGAAGGTTCATCTACACTCTTGCATGCACACTACTCACGAGCGTGCACACACACATTATGCATCTTTTATAATTTTTCTTGGAGTTAATTGACTCAAATTCAATTATTATTATGCTGAATATGGTGAGTGCAACTCCCACTTCTGCAGCAGGTGAATGTTCACCCTTCCAGTCCAGGAATTCCCATGGTATGTGAACCTTTTATAGAGTAATTCATTTTTACACTTATGATTAGACCTGTCTGACATTAAAAGAGATTCTCATATGGTGATATTTTCTTTTACTCAGTGAAGCTTAAGATCAAGTC